TATACGTTCTAATTGGTCAGTTTTAAGTTATTTATATTTTTAATGATATTTATTTCATTTGACGGTTTCTCAATTATTTTTCTCTTTCCTTTATCTCTTCCTTCTTTCCTTATTTTCTTTCCCAATTACCCCATCCCGCCATGCGGAGGCTCCCACTTCTGGTCATCGGCGCTGAGGTCAAATCCGTGTGGGGAGTAGTTCGAGTTGCTTCCTCAGGCCAGCAGTCTTCGTGGCTCGAGAAAGCCGCGGGCTTAGTCGCTGGCATAGGGCTCGATGGCAGCTCTGGTGGCGGAGCGAGTTTGCCATCGTCGGTAACTGGGCGCTGTAAAAGGGGTGGGTTGAGAAGACATGTCGATGGCGTGCGGCGTAGTTGACGGTGGTATTTAGAAAAAAGATGGGTTGTATGCTGTATAGTTGGGCTTTCAAATCCGGGGGACCGCTTTTGTAGCCTTGACGCCCGTGAGTGTCGCAGAGCAATACTGCTGTGAATTATTTGTCTAGGTTATTTTTTTCCAAAAGATAATTATACTATTACACGTTTTTGTTTAGGTTGATATTGTGAGTGGTGAATTCAAAACTTCAAGAATTATTGTAACATGTAATGATGAATTTTCATTTACTTTTTTTTCTTCAAAAGGTTGATATTTTATTGTTTATAAATAGTTGTTTTTATGTTGCTTGATGTTATATTGTTGATTTCTTGTTACTTATTTATTTTTTATTTTTTATTGTTATGTATGTACTATATAACCAATTGATTATTATTATTATTATTATTATTATTATTATTATTATTATTATTATATATATGTTTGTTTGATTTTAGGTCTTCCTAATTGAAGAAAAAGAAGAAAAAGAAGAAAAGGGAAGAAGAAAGAAAAATCGTGGAAATAGAATAAAGAGAGGGAAGAGAGAGAATGAAAAGGAGAGAGAGTAGTTATTAATTTAATTTTTGAATTTTTGAAGTTCTAATTTATTATGTAATTACCTATTGTGTCATTTTTGGAATTCCATATAGTTGATCACTTTAATGGAATTTTGTTTTATTAGTGGGTTAGTTATGTCTTTAAGCCGAAAAACTGGGTCGAACCGCGGGCTTCAGGTGGGCCAGGACGCGGGCTCGCGGGCTGGACACTGAGGGAAGTTCGGGTCTGGCGCGGGCTGTATGCAGGCCAGAAACGGCCCGCGCGTTCCCCCCTTCATCTGTTGGGCTCGCGCGCGATTGGGCCTCCACAAAGTGGGCCGCACTTAACAAACTACTGGGCCGCCGAAAATAAAAATGAAATTATGAGCCACTGGGAAGGAAAGGAAAGGCCACACGCTTGGAAAGAGAAATGAACCAGAGGCTGGGAAGAAAAAAAATAACGAACAATGACTGAGATTATCGAGCAGGGGCAATATCGAGCATGAACGACGGGTTCAGGAAATTTTAAAAATTCAAGAAATTAACAAAATTTTAGAGTTATAAGATTTTATAAAATCCGAGGTTCGGTAAACTTATAAAAACCGGGATTTTGGGTAGAATAAATGAAACGACTGTTGGGTTCACTATACCGTACGGATAAAAATCGCAGCGAAAATTATACAATATAATTATTATTTATCAAATAAATACTTAATCCGTAGGTACATATAGCGAATAAATTGATCTTCATCTTTTAAAATCACGTAAAAATACGAATTTTGATTTGTAGAGAATTTCAAAAATTACCTTTAATTTTCTTCAAATAGCGACGATGAAGAGGAAATCAATTTCCGGTTATGTGGCTATCACCGTCTTTTTACTCCTTAAGGGATCCAAGTGTCTCCCCTCTAATCGAGTCCACCCATTTGGATTCCAACTCCGAGAACAATTTCTTCGCTAGTAGAAATTTTCTGGAATTCAATTGGTATTTTTAAATCAAATAAAAGAGGAGAATATTTTTTATTGGAAATTGTCTTGAGCATCATATGCTCTCTACAAAATGTGGGAGTGCTTTTTCCAAAAGCCGAGAACTCCTTCTCTCATATGCATCATACTCATTATATGAGAACTTGCTTTTATATCAAGTCTCATGAAGTCCATCTCATTTTTACTTTTTATTTTTATATCAAATTCACATTTAATATAAAAACATTATTGGTGATCCATCCCAGCAAACAACATTTTAAATATGTATATTAGATGGAATGAGATGGAGATGAGAGTGACAGCTCCACTCATCATCATTTCATATATATATATTTTTTTTAATTTTAATCTTTAATCTTAATTAAAGATTAAGCAAAAATAATTCAAGATAATGACCCATAATTTATGAAACCAACTTTCTAAATTAATTGGTAAAAATTTTATCTCCCATGTAAAATAAAAATCTCCTGTTTATGTAGGCTTTTAATATATAATCATATTAATATTTGGATTTGAATTGTAAAGTCCAACTTTAAAATCCAACTATTAATTTAGTAATTCCAATAATTACTTAATTAATATCCAAAGCCTAATTAATCAATTCAATTGATTAATTTATTATATTCCTTTAATTGACATCTAATCAAATTAGATTTAATTAAATAATCAAATTATTTAATTAATTAATGTCAATTAATCCAACTATTGGAAATACTAATTTCAAAATTGTCATCATCTAAAATTTGGTGTGACCCTTTTAGGTTCACGATTAACACTAGTAGTGGGTTTACAACTCGTTTGTAATTTAAATTAATCTAATTAATTTATATTCTTGAAATTAACTCCTTAATTTCAAGAACCCACAAATCATGGGAACACGTAACAAGTAGCATGATTATCTAGTGTTAAGTGAAATGGCGAGTTAACCTTTTTCAATTGTAACTGCATACATGTAAAATCCTTTCGACAACTAATTTCCCGATTAAATCTTGGGCATGGATTCATAAGTCGAAACCCAATTGATTCGACACTTATGTGGATAAGTTTCAACAAAGAATCAATTGGCCAAGGTCTTTGAATCATAAACTATGAAAAACTATAGGAAATTCACTTATCCACATAAGTGTCGAATTCTTTGTTGGCCACAGATAAACATCCGTACATATTAATACAGTACCCAAAATATCCCTTTTGTGATTGTCCAACAATCAGAGGATAAATCAAAGTAAAGCACAACATGCACAAGATTACTATCGTGCCTCAAGTCAAAGGATCAATCATGTACTATTGCAATATGAAAATTCTTATTCGACAGTTAAAAACTTCCAGTTAAGAATTTTCATCGGGCCATGTTCAACAAGCACCCGCATATATGCATTCACGTCCACACGCTAATGTTGATGGAATGCAACATTCTCATCCGATGAACATACATCATATCCACAAGTCTTACCGGGTTATTCGATGTCCTGTCTCGAAACACCCATCGACTTGGAACTTATTTAAGATCACAACTCTAAAGACATGTTCCATGATTGCCATCAAATGCGCAACCATTCCTCATAGCTAATAATTATCTAATGACTTTATCATATGTGCAAATATAGAATAAATGCAAATACATAAGATAAAGCTATGCCTCAAAATAATATAATTTCCAATAAATTGTCTTTAAAAGTAGAAAAAGATCCAATCAGATTGGAATGCCGGGTATTCTACTCTAACAATCTCCCACTTGCCCTAGTTCCAATCACCCAAGTATTTCAGGCCCATCTTCTCAAGATGTCCGTCAAACACTTTCTGTGATAAGGGCTTAGTCAGGGAATCTATTTTCTGCTAAAGCGACTTATCCATAATGACGTCACCTCTACCAATGATCTCTCTAATCATGTGGTATCGCATCATATTTTGTTTGGATCTTTGATGAGATCTTAGTGCTTTGGCTTGTGCTACAGCCCCATTGTTGTCACAATAAATCATTATTGGATCAACAATAGACGAGTCTACACCCAACCCTTGGATGAAGTTTCTTATCCAAACAACTTCATTTTGCAGCATCTAATGTTGTAATGTATTCATCCTCGTTAATAGAGTCAGCAGGTTTTTCTTGTTTAAAACTTTTCCAACTACCTACTACTCCATTCAATGTAAATATGTATTCGAACATTGGTATTAAGTCGTCTTTATTGGACTGAAAACTAGAATCAATGAATCCTTCTAGTTTTAGTTCTCCATTTCCATATATCAAAAAGATATCCTTAGTCCTTCTCAAGTACTTAAGAATCATCTTAACGGCCTTCCAGTGTTCCTCTTCCCTGGATTTGATTGATATCTACTCTTGACACTAAGTGCATGAGTCACATCATGCCTAGTACATAACATTGCATACATAATGCTACCAATAGCTAATGCATAAGGTATACAAGTCATCCTTTCTCTTTCTTCATACGTCTTTAGAGACATAGTCTTAGAAAATGAAACACCATGACTCATAGGAAGGTATCCATGTTTGGATTCCTCCATGCTAAATCATTTTAGCACCTTATTTATGTACATTTACTAGGACAGTCCGATCATCTTTATATATCTATCTCTATAGATATTTATCCCTAGGATAAAAAATGCTTCTCCCAAGTATTTCATGAAAAACTGTTTAGACAACCAAGTCCTTGTTGACTGCAACATTCCTACATCATTCCTAATGAGTAGAATGTCATCAACATAGAGAACAAAAAATGCCACTGCATTTCCACTAACTATCTTATAAACACATGGATCATTCGGATTTTTGTGAAAAATCAAACGTTTTGATCATTTCATCAAACCTGATGTTCCAACTCCTTGAAGCTTGTTAAAGTCCATAAATAGACTTTTGGGATTTGCAAACCATTTGCTCGCTCCCACTGGATATGAAACCCCTGTGGTTATTTCATGTAAATATCCTCCTTAATGTTTCCATTAAGAAAAACAGTTTTCACATCCATTTGTCATATCCCGTATTCACAATACGCAGCTATGACTAGCAAGGTCCGAATGGATTTAAGCATTGCAACTGGTGAAAAAGTTTTTCTCATAATCAACACCTTGTTTATGAGTATAACCTTTTGCAACCAGACGCACTTTAAATTATTCACTTCTCCATCTACTCCAAGCTTTCGCTTGTAAACCCATCTACAACCAGTAGGTACAATACCCTATGGTGGGTCTATCATGGTTCATACCTTGTTTGAGTACATGGAGTCCATTTCAGACAGCATAGCTTCTTGCCATTTAATCGAGTCAATGTCCAACATTGCCTCTTCATAGCTTATTCGATCATTATCCAAAAGGAGCCCCTCTTCATTGTTCTCTAACAATAGGTTAGCCTTTCAGGCGCCCTAGAAACCCTTAAAGATTTTCGAAGGAGTTGTGGTTCAGAAGGTCCAGTCTCAACTGTTGTGTTATCTGTAACAATTTGTGGAATAATTTGTGGTTCTTCATTAAGTTCTACAATCTCACCATTCTTATCAGAGAGAAACTCTTCTTCCAAGAAAAAATGGCATTCCTCGAAACAAACACTTTTTTTGTTTAGAGGGATCATA